TCCATTCATCCATTGAAGGGCATCTGGGTTGGTTCCACAGTCTAGCTATTGTGAATTGTGCTGCTATGAACATCGATGTGGCAGTATCCCTGTAGTACGCTCTTTTAAGGTCTTCAGGGAATAGACCAAGAAGGGCAATAACTGGGTCAAATGGTGGTTCCATTCCTAGCTTTCCCAGGAACTTGCTTGTAGTCTTAACTTGTATAATATAAAAGAAATATAACTTGGATATATAAAAGAAAATAGTAGCACCTTACATTTATATAGTACATTGGCAATACCACACCTTACATTTATATAGTACACTGGCAATACCACAGGGCTTTTGATCAAAGAATGATTCCTTGGTGAAATTTTTGCTCATTTCCTTAAGTATAAAATGCTTTTGGGGATGTCTTCTTAATTCATTGCTTGTATCTATATTTGAAGGTTTGTCATACTCCATGCTGCATTTCAACTTCTTATAAAACAGGCTGTTTACATCATTATATTATAAATTACCAAAGAGCTATGCTTTATCAATTTTTATTTCTTTAGAATCTAAAATGAAATGTCTCTCTCCAAATATGTGCTAAATAAAACTCTGTTGAATTTCACTCTGTTACCTTCTACAATGTCCACAATGGTACATATAGCTGATATATAGAGATATTACACCTGCTTTATAAAGGAAGAAACTGAAATTCAAATAGGTTGAATACTGTACACAGATTGACTCAGTTAAGCTCCAGGACCTCAGATCTGGATTTTTTAACAGCCCTTTGATTATATTACAGTGCTTGTAAGACTTGAGGAACAGAAATTCATGGAGAACTTACAGAATTTAGAGTAAAACAAAGCAATTACCAGTAAGCAATACTCTATTAAAAGATACTACTTACATATTCTATTGCAGAAGAAAAAAAAATATTAGATTTGTAATCCTGCATTTTCCTTGACCATTTAGAATCAGGAGGAGTTAAACCAGTCATACTTATTCTAAAATCTACTAATCTAAGAATAGAACTTCAAATCAGGAATAGTAGATAGTTAACTATCAATCACTGACACTACATCAAATACATGTCCGGGACATATAAAACATTTGAAAATAATAACCCAAAATAAACATCTCCAATGACAAATTGTAAAACAGAATTTTTTATTTTCAGAAAATAAATTGGTTAAAGACTCAGGCCTGTTGTTTGCAGAGAAATGTATTTTAAGAAATGGTTCTGGGTTGGATAGAAGAAGAGGGCAATAACAAAATGAAAGGTAATAATTCCTAAAGACAAATAAGAGCAGGAAGGGAGGAAAGGGAGAGAAAACAACAGCAGAAAGACAATACCCACACTGAAATGAGCCAGCAAACCCATAGTGAAAATCATGTAGAGAGGTGGTGAGTGCAGCTCCATGGCAGAATGCCTGGAAGCTCTATGTCTGATCTCTAGCACTGGGGAAAAAAAACCCAAATCACATGGAAATAATATAATCCAAAAAATTACAACCAGAAAAATTAATCACCAGAATTTTTAACTTATTCAATAATTTTATAGATTTAAATAAAAATAACTATAAAAATAAGTTCACATAAAATGAATGTTAAAAGGGATAAGTTCAGGTAAAATGAAAAAGAACAAGAAATGATGAAAAGAAAAGCAGGAAGAGAAATGTAGATATGAACTGAACACAATTAGGAAACTTAAAAATGAAAAATACAGCAGAATGTTTTTAATCACTAGATGAGATAAACTTTTCTCCAGTTAGAGCTGAAGAGAGAATGAATTCTTTTTTTAAAATTGGTTCCTTTTAATTATACATGATCACAGAATCCATTTTGATATAATTATACAAGCATGGAATATATCTTATTCTAATTAGGATGCCAATCATGTGGATGTACATGATGGTGGGATTCACTGTGGTGTATTCATACATGTACATAGGAAAATTATGTCAGATTCATTCAACTGTCTAAGTTATAAGAAAGGGTAGATACATTCATCAAAATCTTATCATAAGGGAGGAGAGGAAAGTAGAGGAGGCATTGGGGAGTAAAGATGATCATATTACAATTTTATATATGTACAAATACGCCACAATGAAACTCATCATTCTGTATATTAATATGCCCCAATGAAAAAAAAATCCAGCACACAGTCAGAAAAAGTATTTAATTGAAACTGTAGATCACAGACATGTAAGATAGATCATGAGGCTCCAATTCTTATGTAATATGAATTTGATAAAAAGTTAACTAAAAGAAATGATGAAGAAACCATTGCTGGAAATTTTTTAGAACAAAAGAAAAATAAGTCTTCAGATTAACAAGAAACTGGGTATTTGGAGTCATCATCAAGAAACAATTTCTTTAAATTGTTTCTTAATCTGTGATTTTCCCATAAATTTCTCCCTACCTCAGTATCTTACCAGTAATTCAAATTTATACAATCTTATAAAACTAAAGATTTAGTGGTCCAGTTGGGTCAGCTGATGTCTCCCTCAAGAGCTTACCACTTTTAGATAGGGAGACAAGAAAAAAAACCCTGAAAAACAGGAACCGATTTATTTAATCTTCAACCAGAAAGACACTTTAACAAAACAACCTGGACAAAATATATGAAATAACAGTTTTCAAGATAGTAGACATCAGGTAATAAAGGGCAATAATTCAAGAAAAATGGGTAATAAATTAGGCAACTCAAAGGATTGCCTCAGCTTCTTCAGAGTTTAAAGGTCACAACAGAGCGGTCACAACAGAGAGTGGGGAAAAATATAGACTCCATGAACTGAGAAGACAGAGATCCAGGAAGACAAAGGCAAAGGGCTGGATATAGCTCAGTGGTGTAGCATACGCTTAGCATCGGCAAAGTCCTGGGTTGAATTTGTAGTACTACATTAAAAACAAAACACTCCAGACAGACCAAAGCAGGTTACTGGACAAAGTACCAGAAAGAAGTGCTCGGAGAGAAAACTTCAAAGATTTGCTTTCTTTCAGATATCCAACAGATTATGTTGATCAGAAACAGAAAAAAAAAAAAGTAAAAGGAAAAAACAAAAATAAGAGAGGAAAAAACGACGGGGTGCAGTAGGACAGCCTGTAATCTCAATAGTTCAGGAGGCTGGGGCAGGAGGATGCAGAGTTCAAAGCCAACATCAACAATAGCAAGGTTCTAAGCAACTCAGTGAGACCCTCCAAAAAAGGGCTAGGGATGTGGATCAGTGGTTGAGTGCCCCTGGGGTTCAATTCCTGGTACCCCCCCCCTCCATAAAAAGAGGACAAACAAACAAAAAAACAGAAAAATAATTGGAGGTAGGGAAAAAATGAATGAAACTAAAAGTTGGTTCTCTGAGAAGTTCAATAACATTTACAAACCTCTAGAGAAAGGCTGACCAAAGGAAAAAAAGAAAAAAGACGCAAATGTTCTATATCAAGAGTAAAAAGAAGATAGCACCAGAGGCCCTACACATACTAAAATTATAATACGAGAGCATTTCAAACAATTTAATTCTTTCAAAGACACAAATTTTGAAAGACATTCATGAATAGACAGATATCTTAATTGATTATATATCTATGAATTACTAGTTTTAAAATTTCTACCAAAAAAAAATCATAGGCCATAGAGCCTCATGAGCAAACTTAAATAAGGAAGACATAATATTAAAAATTTAGGGAAATAAAAAGGGAAGAAATACTTCCAAACTTTTTTTTTTTGAGGTGAGTACTGCTTTAAAGCTAAAACCAAAAAAAGACAACACAAAAAACTGCAGAACAATCTGTCTCATAAACGAACAGTACAAATTCCCAAGCAAACATTAACAAAGTATAATCAGCAATCCACTCCAAGTGGATGTATCCAAGGAATGCAAGTCTGGTTCAATATTTGAGAACTGATAAGTGTAATTCACTATATTCAGAGGCTGAAGTATATCATATGATCAGTTAAAAGCATTTGACAAAAACCTGATATTCACTTATAAAACCTCTCAGAAAACTAAAACTAGAAGAAAATCTCACTAAAACAAAAAAGGTGTCAATCCAAAATTTAAAGTTAATATCAATACCTGAGCACAATATCAACAGCTGTTAATACCAGCAACTCTACAGGCTGAGGCTCAGGCAGGAGGATTGAAAGTTCAAGACCAGCCTCAATAACTTAGTAAGACCCTATCTCAAAAATTAAAACAAAAAAGAGATGGGGATGTAGCTAAGCTTGAGTTCAATCCTCAGTACCACACATGAAAATAATAATATGATGATAAACATGAATTCTTTTGTTCTCACTCACCTATGGGATAAGCAAAAACTACTATTTAACTTAGTAGTAGAGGTACAGTAAGTGCAAGAAGCCAAGAAAGAGGCATAGAGGATTGGGAAAGAAGAAATGAAACAATTTACTCTACCTGTGGGTGATATGACTTTCTACATAGAAAATCCCAAAGAATCTACAAACAAAAAATTAGAACTAATTAGTGAGCTTATTACTCAAATGACTGCAGAATGTGAGGACAATATTTTTAAAGTACCATTTATTAACAAGTACATTAGAAAACATGAATTATTTAGGAATAAAAATCTAACAAAGGGCTGGGGTTGTGGCTCAGTGGTCGAGCACTTGTCTATCATGTGTGAGGCACTGGATTCGATTCTCAGCATCACACATAAATAAAAAATAAAGGTCCACTGATAAATAAAAAAATATTTTAAATATATGCAAGATATAAATGCAGAAAACTATAAAGCAACAAAGAAAGAAATGTCAGTAAATGAACTATAGCAACTATTACCACAGAAATAGAGCAATCAAGAGAAAGCAATTTTGGCTAAAAGACATACACAGGATCAAGTCCAGAAATAGATGTGTATTTATGTGAACACTTTGTTTTCACAAAGGCAATTCAATAGAAAAAGAATATTTTCTCAACATAAGGTGTTAGATTATTTATCTGACATTCATGTCCAAAAAAATGATCGCTAAACTATGATTTGTACAATATATAAAAATTAAGTTGAAATGGATCATAGGACTAAACATAAAAGCTGTAACTATAAAACTACTACAAGTTTTGATTTGCATTTTTCTAATTGCTAAAGATGATAGACATTTTTTCATATATTTGTTGATTGATTGGATATCCTCTTCTAAGAAGTGTCTGTTCGGGTCCTTGGCCCATTTATTTATTGGGTTATTTTGGGGGGGGTGGTTGTGCTTAACTTTTGGAGTTCTTTATATACCCTATAGATTAGGGCTCTATCTGAGGGGTAAAAATTTGCTCCCAAGATGCAGGTTCTCTATTAACCTCAGAGATTGTTTCTTTTGCTGAGAAGAAACTTTTTAGTTTGAGTCCATCCCATTTATTGATTAAGAATATCATCTAATTCCAGTAAGAATGGTAGCTACTATGAAGACAAACAACAAAAAGTGTTGGCGAGGATGTTGGGAAAAAGGTACACTCTTACCTTGGTAGTGGGACTGCAAATTGGTGCAGTCAATATGGAAAGCAGCATAGAGATTTCTTATAAAACTGAGAATGGAACCACTACTTGACCCAGCTATAGCACTCCTTGGTCTATACCCAAAGTGCCACAGTCTGGCTGGGCACAAATCACGAGCCACTCAAGCAGGAACAAACTTTATTTTCCAAACTCGCAGCCCTCCTAGGCACACCACACACCAATCAGAACTCCCTCCACTGGAACTTCACCCAAGGAGAACTCCAAAGTAGCGGGCACCCCAGGCAGACAGCAGGAGTCTATATACAATTGAATACACAACCTGTTTCAATCCAGCATCATCTTAATGGCTCGCCTCTCAACCCTTACTTCTGGCAAAATGCCGGGCGTCATTCCAACTTGGCTGTGGCCCTCAACACCAAAGGACTTAAAAACAGCATACTACAAAGACACAACCACATCAATGTTTATAGCAGCACAATTCACAATAGTTAAACTGTGGAACCAACCTAGATGCCCTTCAGTAGAGAAATGAATAAAAATAAATGTGGCATATATACACAATGGAATATTACTCAATAATAAAAGAGAATAAAATCATGGCATTTGCAGGTAAATGGAGGAGATGGAGAAGATAATGCTAAATGAAGTCAGCCAATCCCAAAAAAAAACAAATGCCAAATATTTTCTCTGATATATGGTGACTGACTCATAGTGGGGTAGAAAGGGGGAGTATGGGAGGAATAGATGAACTCTAGATAGGCAGAGGGGTAGGAGTAAAAGAGAGAGGTGGAATGTGATGATGGTCATCATTATCCAGAGTACATGTATAAAGACATGAATTGGTGTGAACATTCTTTATATACAAACAGAGATATGAAAAATTGTGCTCTATATGTGTAAATAAGAATTTTAATGCATTCCACTATAATGTATTTAAAAAATAAAATCAATTTAAAATCAAAAAAACTAATAGAAGAAAATTGGGAGTAACATTTATAAGTATTGATGTGCACAGACTATATAAAAACTTTTCTTATAACTCAAAAATAAGGAAATAACTCATTTTAAATGAACAAAACATTCTAACAGAGATTTCACCAAAGAACACTTCAGATGGCTAATAACCACAATAAAGCACCAGTACACACTTATTAGAATAGTTAGAATTCAGAAAACTGATTTGGATAAGTGTTGGCCAGGATACAGCAGAACAGGAAATCTTATATACTGCTCAAAAGAATGCAAACTAGTAATGTGTATTTGAAAAGTAGATGGACAGTTTTCTTAAAAAGTTAAACATATGGGCTGGAGTTGTAGCTTAGGGGTAGAGCACTGGCCTAGTTCATGTAAGGCACTGGGTTTGATCCTCAGCACCACATAAAAATAAATAAAATAAAGGTATCCATCTACAACTAAGAATATTTTTTTATAAACATTAAACAAAATCCTACGATATGATCCAATTTACCTAACAGAAATGAAATAATGGTGGAAACAATCCAATGTCCATCAATAGGTGAACTGAATAAACTATGGTGGAACTTCGCCATAAAAGACTTGATTTATAATGATACATGAAACAATAAATATGAACTCAATAATGCTTATAAAGAAAACAGATCTCAAAAAATACATACTGAATGATTCTATTTCTATTAAATATTCTAGAAAATGCAAATCAATCTATGACAGTATAAGAATACAAGGCAGAGAAAGGAGAAAGGAAAGCTTTGGATGTTGTTTTACTCAGTTTGTCCGCTGCTGTGACTAAAATATCTGACCAGAACAATTTTAGGAAGAAAAGTTTATTTTAGGACTCATGGTATCAGAGGTCTTATTTTAGGACTCATGGTATCAGAGGTCTTAGTCTATAGAAGGCAAGCTCCATTCCTATGGGTTGGAGGTGAGGCAGATATCATGGCAGAAGAGTGTGGCAGAGGGAATCAGCTCACACAATGGGCAAGAAGCAGAAAGATATCTCCACTTGTCAGATACAAATAATACCCCAAAGCCATGTCCCAATTCCTACCTCCTCCAGCCACACCCTACTTCTTCAGTTACCAGTTAATTCCTATCCAAGGACTAATTCATTAATTGGATTAAGACTCTCACAATCAATAATTTCTCCTCTGAACCTTCTTGCATTGTCTCAATGTGAGCTTTTAGGGAACATCTCACATCCAAACCATAACAGAGGGTGATAGATATACATTCATTTTCTTCATTGTGCTAAGAATTCCACAAAACTCAAACTGTACACTTTAAATGTGCAAAAAAATGGAAAAGTAAACAATGTATGTTAAAAAATGTCTTAGAACTTTGAGGTCTAAAAACAATCTTCTTCAACAGTGAAATTATATTGCACTATGATTTTTGTAAATAAGTGACATCAATTTATAACAGATTTCCTCCAATTAAATTTTAAATGACACTACTGAAATCACTGTAATAACTAGTAAGGTTTTTTATTTTTCTTTTTACAGTAATGGGGATTAAACCCAGGGGTAATCTATCAGTGAGCTTTTTTTTTATTCTTTTTTACTTTTTATTTTGAGACAGGGTCTTGCTAAGTTGCTCAGGCTGGTCTTGGATTTGCAATCCCTCCTCAGCCTCCTGAGTCACTTGAATTATAGGTCTGCACCACTGTGACTGGTCTAATATTGTTTTTAAAAAATTAACTACCACAAAAAAATAAAAAAAATAATAATAAACTAGTTGATCTGTTTTCTGATCACTTGAAAAATTAACCCACAGCCTTTTAAGGAATTAAAAAAATTATAAATATATAAGTATGCTTACAAAGCAAAACTCTTAAAACTATTTTACTCATCTACTAATTATAGTAGATAGGGAACTATCTGGAACACAATAAATGAAAATATTTTTTCAGTTAATAAATTCATATGCTGAAATCATTTTCTGCTATTGCTCCTCTTCAATTATTCACCAGCAAGGCCTAATGTTAAGACTCATTATTATGGGGGGTTGTTCTATCTTTATGATATCAAACTTTGAATCTCTATTCATTCCTAGCCCTTACATTCTCATCTCATAATCTCTCACATTTCCTTAAACTGTAAATCCACTTCATAGTGTCTGTTAGTACTCAGCATTCTTAGCTTCACAAATTTTGTTACTCATTCCAGGTCCCAAAATAAAAAAGTTACAGAATAAAAGAAACTAAATTCCATTGATTAACATTAAAAAACTTTAACGATTTGGCCTTAACATATTTTCCAGATTTCTCTCTCATTGTACTTTTTGGCCTAATCAATGTATACACCAAGAAAACTTTACTGTTTCTTGATTCTGTACCTTTTGAAATACTTCTTCGTTGACTAAGTGCAACATTCTCTGTTTATGGAGGTACTATAAAATCTTTTGAGTCTTAGCTCAATCACACTTCCTTTGTTTCAGGATTTATATTAATTAAAATCACTTCCAATGGAACCCAGAATATTTTATCGAATATTCCTTTTAAGGAAATGTGTATAATTCAGTTACCAAAACTCTTTTAACATGAAAGAAATATAATTGTTCTCTAAGTTAAACTTGTAAAAAGCTATGTATATTAAAGGAATAAAGTCAACTTCTGAAGAAATTCTGGCTCATAGCCAGACCAAGATAAAGCTAAAGGTATCTGGAAAAATTTCAAAATATGTAGAGCTGGTGTGGTGGCACATGCCTGTAATTCCAGGGACTCAGAAGGCCGAGGCAAGAGGAAGGAGGATTGCCAGTTTGAGGCCAGCCTCAGCAACTTATCAAGGCCCTAAGTAACTTAGCAAGACTCTGCTTCAAAATTTAAAAAATAAATAAATAAAAAGAGTTGGAAGTATGGCTTAGTGGTCAAGCACCTCTGGGTATAGTTCCCAGTACAAGAACAAAACAAAAAATGCCTTTAAAAACCTGTACATATGTATATACAAAACATACATACAAAAATGTTAATATAAAATGTTAATATAAAATAACTGTATTAACTAGAAAA